AATAAAGACATTTTTCAAATGCTGATGTTATTTGAATGTCACTATAAGTGTAAGCAAGTCCTGTTGTACGCTGGTTAAACACCGCTATTTGGCTTTCTTCAGCTTTCGAAGTATACACAGTAACACAGTTTCACTAATACAAAGAAATACGATCAATCAATCTAGAATGGCAACATGTCATCGACTGCTAATATGGGAATGTTGGGCTCGACCCGGGAAAGAAGCCGTAAAGTCCACATACTACTGACATAATTATGACAAACGTTAGTCATCCAGGATGAGGTCAATGGAGACAGAATTGGGAATGACGTTCATCCGATCACTAATAGACCGATGTTGCACAATTCCATCAGCACCTTCATTAGAATAAGAAGCCAGTGATTTCCACATCTTTGTTTATGTACATTAAATATAACTCGATGAATGACGGTATCAATAAAAATTGTATGATCTTAAACTAGCCTGGAAAATCACACGATGTCGTACAACCAACGCATGAATGATTAAGCAAAATATGAAAAATTCCCAGTTTTGACATGTGCAAACCTTTCCCTCGCCACGGCAGGCGATTCAACGAATCCGATCTGTTTGCGTACATGCTTGAATAACGCATCGAGCGTATTTGCATCATCGTAAATCTTCGAGTTCTCTTCATTGTAGTGTCGAGCGTTGCTGAACATCAGATCGAAGTCTGCAGCCAAAACATTGGTACTCGGATACTGAAGAAAGCGAATATTGAAAATCAGTCGCTTACACAGACATCATACATAACGCAACGAAGATCAGAAAACACATCAAGAATTAGGAGATTAATAAGAAAGTGCAACCACACTGCGTATTTTCACATACAATAACGGTAAAAATCTGTGCTGGGAGAGTATTATCCAAATCCACAACAGCACTTGAGAAGACTAGCGAATTTTGAGGTTTTGTCATGTTTTCTGCTAACGGATCTGCGTAGAAATATACTTTGACACAAATCAGACGAATAAGTGGACCATCGTAAAAGCAGTCTTTCCAGCAAGTAAAACATCACAAAGAAACATTATGCCGTATGTCACCTAGATATAGACTGAAAGCTAGATCCACCGTCAATCACGTCCAATCAGCAATCAAGTCACTGCACGAACAAATGGCTGTTAATTGACATAACTGGTTGGATATCTCTCAAATGTTAATTTTCCTGGAGCACTGAAGAAGAGGTTGCAGTTGTGGAGCCTCAGTGGAAACTATTGCATTATACACCGCATATCGACCTACCCTGATCGTAAAAGACCTATGTACGGTCAAAATTGTCATAGTCAGCTGGACAATTAGATAACTAAGGCATTGCTACGTTGCTGAATTAATCGGCGCTCTTTACCGGCGTTGGTATATTCATCTACTCTTTGCGCTTCATATTCATCCAGGATATAGAAGTCACAACAAGTTTTAGGTTTCATCATATCAGTTTAACATTTTCAATGATTAGCGTTATCCCTTTTGAGCTACGAGACAACACATATATTGACTTCGTAGCTAAAACTACGTTGCAGGTTACAATTAATACGGATAGTACCACCATCAATGAATATTATAGAACATTATGCCACAGCAACTCAATCCTACGGTTTTTTCGCTCTAAATGCGTTTTCACCGAACGATCCTCACCTCTAAAAAACAAAATTGATATGGAAATAAAATGAGAATCTCTAAGCTTCTTAAGGATTTTTTCAACGTCCTATATAACGCATTATTTAACTTGAACTGTGAACTTCTAGAACCGTAAAATTTACGCAATCAATCAGCCACTCAGTCAGTCTCGATGACCGCTTATCGTTCTGGGTCATGGAAGCAGATGCGCCAAATACGGTCTCAACCGTTATTGATTCTGTGCGAGCGTTTGAGTTTCAGCCGTAGAATAACCCGAGTTCGGATCAGAGTCGATCGAGACACTTGCTACAGATCATTTGTGGCCTTTCTCCGGGTCTTCAGCAGTCGTGTATGCAAGTAGTAGCTATTTCGCTTTTCTTTCAGCACTCAATCGTAAGATGTGCCCAAATTACAGTAGCTGCAACTTCTCAGTCTGCCGAAGAAGCGCCTGTACACCAAGGCTAGAGAGGATATATGAACTTCTGACCATGACGAGATGCGCGAACCCAGCGATTCATCTCAAAAAGCGTATTTCAGCCGCTTGTTCCCGGGGTTGTAGGTTATCAGTCATGATTCACGACTCATGACCGTAGATGAGCATGGGGATGAAAATCGACTTGAACACTCAGACTTTAGTTCTCAGACACAGCTCTCCTGCAGTCACAAAGGTTCAACCTAGTTAACGCAGAAAGCCACTGGCGATTCCAATCCCTCGGTTCATCGTTTCCCTCCATTTTCCATAACCAGCAAACAAGACCCAAACTTATGTGAATTGTTTCACCTGCGTCACTGCTCTTATGTGCAGAGCGCCACGGACAAAAGAACGAGAAACCATTAGCACACTGCACACGTATGCCGGTCACGTTGCTCACAGCTGTGAACCTTCCCAAAAAAGCGCTGGAGATCAGTTTAGGAGCTGGCTCCTGATAAACGGCTCTTAAAGAGTTTCCAATCGGTTTTCACGTAGGCGGTGATCACTGAAATCTCTTCACAGCGTTTCGTGACGCTGTTTGCAAGTTTCGGACTCATATCCGCCGAAGGTTATTTTTCCCATCTGATTCTTTGGTTGCTTCTGGCCAAACAATTTGCACGATACCCAATCGTCTGCAGTGGAGACTGCTTGCCAAGAGCAAAGTGATCATCGGTAAACATCTCTGCGTCTCTCTTAATGTGAACATTCATCAGCGAAAGTCGCATTATGAAATCGATCATCGACTTTAGAGCAAACGCTTCCTTATAGCAGGTATACTGATGCATGTCTCGATGATCGAAGAAGGTATTCATTATAGGCAGCCCGCTGTTTGCACAAAACCGCAAGAACTAAATGCCGTTTTTATTGAGATCACTAGAACTGTTCTTTCCAAACAAGCCTTTCCACTTTTCATTGTCTGCTCTGGCGTGCACACTGAAATCGTCCATTATAATAGTGGGTTCCGTAGCCGGCACTTACTATAAATGACCTTCTACCGCATCCAAAAAGGACTCATACTTCTGCCCAGAATTTGACGAATACACCTATAGTAAGGTCACAGCTTTTTCTTTTTGAAACTTCAATAGGAAAACTGCCATTCTTCCGCGTTTATTCAGTGATTCTGTCAGCCAGGTTGGGTTTTACCAGAACACAAATCCTACCTGAGTGCGTGTAGTGATGTCGATACCTCAGTAGAGTACCTTCCATTCTCAGAGGTTCAGAATATCAGAGCCTTGGCGCTTCCTTTATGAGAGTCCAACTACATCGAATTGGTGTCTTGCGGTACCATCAAGTAATTCCTTACCTTTTCCGCTGAGGGAGGAAACTAGCTGCAAGCTCCTACTGGCAGAATCTTTCTCATATACCTTATCCGACGTGTTATAATAGCATCACGCTGTTTGCTAACTCCATTCAGAACGAGTAGCAACTCCGTCGCTAAATTCACATAGTGGTAAATGAACGATACCCAAGTAGTACGCAAGTAGCAAAAATTCATAAACCAAACTCTTTTCACTTACAAGATAAATAATATATACTAGAATTTAAATGATAGTTGTACTTCCAATACTCCCCATTTAAAAATTAAAAGAGATATATCTCACTCACTATCAAAAGCTACGTTGCCAAATGAATCATGCGTACGTTATTTTTCTCCTTATGCTTTATTACGTTCGATATTTTTATAAGTGTAGCAAGCATGAAGTTTCCACTGTTCAGCGGTTCCAATACTTCGACAACATACAATCATTTACAAGAACTTTATAAGTAACTTGTCGCTGAATCATGAGGATCCATGAGAATCTGGATCAGGTAAGGTAGTAGTAAGCTCTTAAAAGCCTCAGTACGAATGAACATTAGATTAAAATCTGTACGCCAGGCCTTCACCTTTGACTAGCAACTGACCGCTATATCGTAGAGGTGGTGCAGCGGAGCCATTAGGTTACTGCTTGCGAAGGTCTCAGAGGCAGAGCAAATGTCATAGACAACCCCAGAGGCAATCCGCTGATATAGAAAGCCAGCTACCTTCGCACACAGCCTCAGTCCGCACCGCTAATTCATTCTACCCGTCAATTTATGGAGCAAGACAACTATTACATGAAATTCTGGGAATTAAGGAAATGAGGATGTTACCATTACATAAACTGCAGTTCATAAAGACTTTATGAGAGAACCAAAGCGTAGTAGAGGCTGATCAGAAAGCCAGCAAGCTATATGAATGGACAGAATACAAGCAAACTTTATTCAAATAGGAATGGCTCCTTGTAGATGGTGTAATGATGCCTTGCTGCAAAATTTGAAAACCTAAAAATTCTCCAGCATCACAAACCAGTGATATTTCCACTATGAAGATCACAACAAGCAAGACATCGCCATTGGGCTCCCAATGCGATAATGAGCACTTGATCAGGGAGAACAATCAGTCAAGCATAACTTGGAGTGTGGGCGTCTCTTTATGCTAAATTTGTATGCGTATTCTTACTCTTGCGACGATTCAGATATACAATCTGGATATCAGGGGAGAAACTCATAAGATGAGCTTTCCTGAAATAGCCAAAAAGGTGCATATTTCTCGACTACCTCGAGTATCTGACTTTCTCGCACCTTCGAATCTAGCCAATCGGGAGCACTTGATTGTTGAAGGCAGGAACACTGAAAAAATCACCTGAAACTGCTTCGCACAACGACAAAGAAACAGCGGACTATCGAAAGGAATAAAAGAAGGAAAGAATGTGCGGCAAATGAATGATCCGATGAACAAATGAAAGACAGAATGATCGAGTACTCACTAAAGTGCAATAAACAGCTGTGGAATCAAAAATTATGTTAGATCGTTGCCGATCATTCAGAACACTGCGATTATTATTGTCCTTTCTAACCTTGTCGTTGTCGATATTCGATCGAATCATCTTCAGGTCAATCGGCTCTGGAATCACCTGGTAATAGTCGGGGTACATCTTCTTCGACGGTTTTTCGACGAAAGCTTCAGCCAGCCATCGTCCATCCTCGCTCTTTATTTTAAAAAGTATGCATCCATGCAATTAAACCAGAGAGCGCTGAACCGTCGCGCGAAACTCAACATACCTTATAATCCAAAATAGTGTTGTACAAAGTCATCAGCTTCTGG